TAAAAAAAAAAAAAGTTGGTACACCATTCCTGGGACACAGGGAGTCTCTGTGGTGACAGAGCATCTGGAGGGGGGCACTGGAAACCGTGAGGAGCTTTGACTTTTATTAGGAGTCAACAGTGTGACTCAGGCTCTGAAAAGTTCCGGGCACTCTTACACCTCAGCAGTAGATGTCCGGTGTCCAGGACAAGGAAGCCAATATTCCCACTCTGTTCACCATGTGGTCAGGCCTCTTTTAGAGTATCACTTCGGGACATCACATTTTAAAAGGACACTGATGCACAAAAACACATTTCGAGAAAGATGGACAGGTTGGTGCGGGATCCAAAAAAGGTGTGAGAAGAATGGTGAAAGGAACCGAGGCAGTTTACTTTGGAAAAGGAAGGCTTCGCGAGAGGCTCTGAGAACTGTTCTCAAATATTTGAAGAGCTGTCATGTTGTAAGATAACTTAGGTTTACCTGGTGCAGCTCCAGAGCACTAAGCATCACGGTGGTTGGAAGTCAGTTTGAGACAGACTGGAAGGTGAGTGGGAAAAACTTTCCAGCAACTGGAGAGGTTTACAAATTTACTGATAAGGCAGTGAGCTTCCCATCATGGCAGGCATTCTAGCTGACTCCACGATCAAAGGACATTCTTACCTGGGCGATCCCTGCCTCTCGGAGCATCTCTTCTGCCTGAAGGACTGCCCACACAGCACTCCGTGTGGCTTTTCCTAAGGAGCTCCTCACTTCTGTCCCTCGTGCCCTCCACGTAGATTCTCCCGCTGATGAGAGAACGCAAGGAAGCAAAAATGCAGGGCAGACCTTCCTTCGCATGGCCTTTTCCCAATTAGTACAGTGTTTCCCTGGTGACTCTTTGACTTTCTTCTCCTACCTGATCTCCTTCATTTTGAATTCAATCTTTGGGAAAAGTGTCTAGGCATTAAATTGTTTAAGATTTTACATTACCTACCCTACAAGTCCCTTGGCAGATTTAGACTCTGACATTTTTCAAAGAGGTCAGAACTCAGAACATTCCAATGCAACACTTTACTGCATGTTATGCTCGCTTTGGCAGCACATGTACAAACATTTATTGCATGTTTGCATTTGAAACAGAGGTGGAAATGTGTTGTACCAACCCCGGAGAGGAGGCGGTCCTTTACCATGCTCTCTCCTACACCTTGCTCTAATCCTGGCCCTGGATTAGGGTGGTAGGGAGGGTCATGGTTTGGGCAAGGAAAGATTAGGACAAAGGCACCCCTATGTACCACAAGCAGGCTGGTGGGAGCCCGGTACACCCCGTGGGACCTGGAGCTGCTGCCCAGGGCCAGGCTGGGCTACCTTTGCAAGTTTCATAGCCAAGGAGGTGCCATTTGCTCCCTAGAAGTCACAGATCTCCTGTCTTCATGGAAATTTCCTGCTCCCACCCCCCAGCACCTTAGCCTTTACTTTGTCCTTCTGCAAAGCTCCAGCTGATCACAGAAGAGAGGTTATCATGCTCCTCTCCCCGTCTCCAGCCTGTCCTGCCTGACCTGCTTCTCCAGGGAACAAATCCATCAGCCATCTTTTTCCTTGCCCATAACCATCTCTTTCCTAGGATCTGAGTGTGGCCCTTCCCAATGAAGTTCATCTCCTGCCTCTTCTCTGACCTGCCGCTGCCTCCCTCTGGTTGCCCCTGCTCGCTGGACCCAGAAAAGGCATAAATGCCTCTCAGTCTGCTCTCCAGATCCTCTGGTCTCATACTTGTGGTTCTCTCAGGTTCCCTCAGGTTTCCTCAGGTCTTCAACCTCCTTCTCCTCTGCTCTTCTGGAAAAAGGCCGCCTAAAGGATCACCACCCTGTTGCTGCCTTTTTCCAACTGCCAAGTGTTTTCCTTTTCTAACAGTTCTCTCCTTCCCTCCTCTGATCAGACTTCAGTTAGGAGGGTACAGGCAATGGGGTCAGGATAGGGCTACTGGTTTTCTTCTCTCAGGTTCAACCTCTAGCCAACTTCTAACATAGATGAAACTGTCCATTTGGGCTGGAAAGTGAAAGCGAGGAGAGACGGAGGAGAGACACTGGGGTTCCTGGCTGAGTTTGGGGGGGTGGGGTGGAGGCAGGCAGAGATGAAAGTGTGAAATCAACTGAGGTTAGAGCGATAGAGGCTGCCTTCCTCAGTGTTCCTGGTCTGGTGCAGGCTCTAACAAGCATGAGGGCAAACTACTTCCTCAGTGTTCCTGGGCCAATGCAAGCTCTAACAAGCATGAGAGCAAACTATTTGTATTTTTTTTTAAATGTTTACTTGAGAGAGAGTGGACAGAGTGTGAGTGGGGGAGGGCAGAGAGGGGGAGGGCAGAGAGAGAGAGGAGGAGACACAGAATCTGAAGCA